AAATAAAGTATAACTCCCGTTGCATGTTCATACAGACAGTATTCGAGAAGCTACTGTAAGTTGCTGTGTGAATGTGACATTTTAAGACTCAGAACTGTAAGTAAATGCGGTTGTCAATCCCAAAAGCTGACGGTGTGAACGTAGCCTATGACATTCTAAAATTCATGCTCATTTTTCAATTTGTTATGCTGATACAGTGTTTGCTATTTAAAAATGTCATTAAAAATGCAAGATATAGCCTAGTGGTTTTATACTTTCAGACTCCACTGTACATCTCCTATTCTTCCTCTCATTGTTCAAGTCCCATGCACCCAAAAGCAACTAGAAAACTGGCTTATTTGGCAGAAAGAAAAAAAATCCCCTGTAATTGCTTAAAAAATGGAGCTGTTGTACTCTCTCCGTGTCTTCCCACTTGGCAAAGTTTTTGAAAAGCTTCAGCCTGAACGCCGAAGACACTGGTTGCAAAAATAGCACATCTCTGCACGTTCATTACAGAGCTAATGGAAAATATGATGAAATGGAAGACAAAATTAAAGAATATCAGAATAGCACAACTTTTAGCCTACAACTGAAAAATACATCTGCTACTTCTGAAACAAAGAGCAGGATGGGACGAAAGGACAGAACAAACATCTTCAACATCAGTTCTCAGCCTAATGTTAATAATTTATGTTGTGTGTGCTTCTTTATGATTAATATTTATTTATTTACTGCTCTTCAATTTACCAGCCAGTCATGCTTTCAAAGGCTTCATGGACAAGAGAAGCCGTCACAAACTTCAGAGTTTACTTTCAAAAGCCCTTCAGCAGAGAATGTGCTTTCTCGCTTAGAGACGGCTCATTATTGTTATCTGTTGCCCGCAAAGAAATTAAACATTGATGCGAAATAACCCTGGCATAGATTCTTCTCTATTGACCCTATGGAAATCTAAATGAATGGCTGCTGACCCTGGAAGCCCGTGGGCCGTCGGTTTGCTTTAAGGTGTAAATTCAGCATTGAAAGCTTGTTCGGCTATAAGGAGAAAAGCGTTTCTGTGTGACTCTTCACTTTATATCAGCGATTACATGGAAGGACGGCACATTACAGAGGACAGAATGAAAGATGACTATTGTTCAGAGGAACAGACGAATCAGTGTGAAATAAAGTGGGTTTAACATGGTTAAAATAGCTGGACAACATGTCTTTTAAAGTCTAAATGGGATTGTTTTGCAGAATGAATGTTCACTCTTATGAATCCACCACTCTGTTACGTGAAAACGGTTTCTGAGGCATCATGTGCAAGCAATTTAAAGTTTTACCATCACTACACAGCTATTATTCACCATCATCATCATATAGCTTTTAAGCTTTTGTTGTTTTATAGTTGTTATATAACGGTTCTAGCCTTTGTTGTTTTATCGTTGAAGTTGAAAACCCTGCACTAGAGATGTGGGGGTGAAGATTTCTGATAATGATCCAGTCCTATGCTATCTGATAAAGATTAGGCAGGAGGAATGCTGATCTTTATTAATGGAAGAAGTGAGAGATTATTAAGCTCAAGTGTCCAGTTCTCCAATTTATGAAAGCGACCATTGAATTTGAATAATTCAGCTGACCCGACTCAATTATTCCTCTAAACCCTCATAATGCACTCAAAATGCCTATACAATTTTTGCATTCCAGATTAATTTGGACACGAAGAATCTGGGTTTTATAAAACAGTCTTAAATTAATATTTTTTCAACTAAAACCATATCGTATGTAATCAGCAAATTAATGAGTGAATGTGAAAAATTTTAAAGTTAGTTATCACGTTATTACAATGTTATTACTGTACTTACCCTTTTTGATTAATTAAAAAAATATATAAATTCTTTGACATTTAAAATCCCACATGAACAACACAAAAAACTGATGCAAAATTAATATATATATTTTTCAATATTGATGAGAAATCTTATTTGAATACACACAATACAGTTCAATGTAGCTAATGTCCTGATAAATAAATGATAAGCTTATTAATAATGCATTTGCATACCTACTGAAACTTGACGAATTGTAGTTTTGTCTATTGATTACTCAAATTACAGATTCATTACTATTGCCAAAGAAATACATAATTTTGAACAGATCCAAATAGAATGTCACATGTTGTTGTCTAGTATTTATAGTAGTTTATAGTAGAATACAGCTTCATAATTTTTTATCTTTCTTTAGATCTTTAAGTCTGGTATACTTATATTAAAATGTAAGTTATTTAAATGTGAATTAAGTGATGCTTGTTTCTTCCCCTGTTCTTTGTAAAATATTCTTTAGAAAAAGAAATGCAGCCATTGTGTTTCATGTCAAACAATTGTTTATTATTAATTATTATGGTACAAATTAATGTGACAGACTTGAAGCTGTTAAGAAATACACAAAGTGCAGCTTAACTGACCGAACAGATATTGCTCTATATAATACATACAGTTTTCAGTCTATAAAATTTAAAGCATCCTTAGCAGGTTAAACAGCTTTGGTTTCAAGGTCTTGAGAGTAATAACATTTCAAACTCGACGGTGTGCGTGTGTGTGTGTGTGTGTGTGTGTGTGTTCATGTGTGTATGTTTACCAGTGTGTGTTCTTCAATAAATCTCGAAAGGTTTTCCATCATCTTTCAAAAACAATTGAGTTGAACCGCAAAGTTTTCTTTCTTCCCCATTTATATGAGGCAATTCCAGGCAATTAAACTCAAAAATGTATCTTACATAGCAAAAGGAGATAACCAAATAAACAATGCAGAAACTAAACAATAAAATAGAAGAAAGTCATGTAACAACGTCTGTTCTATACACGTGACCCTGGAAAGCACATCATAAAGAAAAGCATGTGAGAATCAATCTATGATGGTCATAAAAACTACTTACAAACATATACACAAGTCCTTTATGTTTTGTCGTGAACCATTGCACAAAGGTACCATGTTATGACATTGCTCACTACTTAGCAGGACAGTGCTGAGGTAATTTTAATGATATACTCCATTTAATCAATTTACTTCAATTCAGTTACATATTTCAAGATTGTCAGCGACATTTAGCCATTTCTCTGTACAATGTGCATATAACTATTAAACTTTGGTCCAGCATTGAAAAGATGAGCAAAGGCAGAACTTAGATTCTCGTCTCTTGGTTTTAATTTTTGGTTACAGCTTTATTTCGTAAGCCTGTATACCTTAAGACGTCCTGTCTCTGCAACCACACACAAATACCATGCTTCTGAATTCATGAAAATGAATGCGCTGGGGGAATGTCATCTTATAATATGAGTTAAAGTAATTAGACAGGTCTTTGAATGTGAGTCAAGACATTAGTTACGTAGCTGTCAGAAGCCAGACAATTTTTCTGTAACTATAATCATAGCAAATGTCCACTGTAATGAACTACATTTGCATAAATGCCCCAAAAGATTTTCTTTGTTCTTGCCATTTCTGTTCATTGCTGATAAGATAGATACAGACTGAATTAAATATCAAATTCATGATGCAAATCAGTAAAATCATAGGATTGTTTCATAGGAAGGAATATCAACAGGATCGTCACTGCTATCATGAGTACTTTTTAGATATTTTTGCCTGTTGATAAGTATTTAAATGCCATACAGCTAATTCCAAAACATTAATGTGGCAGAAAAAGACTTAATTTATTTGTAAACTGAGACTTTTTACTGTCTTAGTTGTCTTTTAGTATGAAGTGAATATTCATGTCCACAGCAAAATACTTTTAATATTAACATTATCATTGAACTGTAGGCTATTTTAACATCAGCATTAAATCTGTTGTCTTGCTTTCTGGATATCAGTTGACCACTGTTTTTAATTTCAGTTGGAATGCTTGTTATACAGTATAAGAATTATACAAAAAATAAAAATAAAAAAGAGACTAGAAAACAACTACTGTACTGTACTGTAAATCTACCTGTAAGATGGGCTGAAGGTTTGTACGATGGTGCAGTATTTGGACAATGGATTCTTTTTATATATACTGAGGTGTATATTCAGTCAAATGCTTTGCTTCAATCAAATATGTCCAAAATGAGCATTTTCCAGTCATTTCCATCTGAGAGATTTTGACTGACACAAAAAAAAAAAACCCTTAAGCACCAAAATGAAAAAGACACAGACAAAAGATAAATTGCATAACTCAAGTGAAATCTTTAAAATTAATCTAATTTACTTGAAATATGTTTATGTATGTATGTATGTATGTATAGTTAAGTGTGACAAGTAAAATAAAATAGTAACCCTTTGTTTTTAAAAATAAAAAACATCCGATCACATGAAAAGAATAAAATGGTTCAGGCCAAGGTATGACACAATGTCCTTGTTCTTTGGCTAGGAGGCTTTGGCAACACCATAAAATAGCTTTAATCACAGCTGCAACGTATATGTGGATATCTGTGGCATGTTCACTGAGAATCTCTTTGCAAAATATTCCTCCCAAATGCACTCTTTCATGCCTTAATGTTTATGAACAGAGTGAGATGACACAGTTGATGATGGCCTTACAGACAGCAGAAACGTGACAATTTTGAAATTAACTTCTCAAAGATTTTTTTTTTTTAATTTAACTTATGATTTAAGTTTGGTGACAATTTACCTGAAATATTTACATAAAAACCCAAGTCATAAAATAAGACAAAGATCAAATGTCACACCCATCTACCCCATCATACAAATATTTTCTTTCTTTTTTGTTTTACCATTTTTTCCCCCAGTAAAAATGTAAAAATGTAAAACACATTTACAATTAAAAAAAACCTCAGGTATCAGATGCAACAAACTTTGGTAAGTAGTTTCTTCACCATCCTTGATTTTAATATGATCCTTGTTCTTAATTACTCACAAACTTCTTATGAATCAGTACTATAATTCTCATACAACTCTCTTTTTTTCTGAACTTGTTTGGTTTTTGCTTTTGTGATGATAACACTGACAATATTTCTTTTTGTCTTTGTCGACAGTTCATCCATTCGATGGTGCATTGGATAGTAATCGTCCAGGTCTTTAAGTCCACAACATCAGAAGTTTCGCCATAGGTGCGCGTTCGCCTCATGCTGTTCGTGTCAAGCTAAGGGTGTTCTTCCATATTATCAACCAGAGGGTCCATTGGTGCGACCGGCCCGAGCTCGGGCTGTTTCAGCCTCTTTATAGTGTTTTTCAAAGCTTGCCTCTTATTGCAGAACCAGACGCGCACCACCTCGCGATCATAGTTCAGTTTCTCTGCGATTTCCGTCATCTCCTTACCGGAGGGGTGAGTATTCTTCTCGAAGTGGCTGTTGAGGATTTCCAGGGCCTGCGGTGTGAAAGAGGTCCGGCGTTTGCGCTTTTTGGAAGGCTCGTTGCCGATAAACTCTGTCAGGTTCTGCATACCGGAGCGATGGCGGGCTTCCGCCTCGGCCATCCAGCGCTCCAGCACGGGCTTAATCTTCTGGGCGCTTTTTGGGGTGATGTCCAACTTCTCGAACCTGGCAGGATATAAAAGGCCAGGGTTCAGTTTGCCTGTCAGACTGCTAGCTATAGTGTTCTCTTGGGCTTCCTGTGGTAGGAAAAAGTGGCTTCTCAGGATGGTGTGTCTGGGGGAGAATTGAAAGAGAACAAGCTTACTCAAGTGCCCAGACCGGTTGAGGGGTTTCTGACCCAGTTGCCCAGAAGAAGGGGTCTCTTGGTCTAGGCCACCAATGGGACAGAGAGTTTTGTGGCCTCTACCCCATGGCTTCAGCTGTTGCGTGCTAAGAAACTAGTTAATCTATGCCAAATACCTAGTTTGTCCACTCCAGTACATCATGTTCCTTCATGTGTCGCTTTTATTGACTCTCTGTACCAATGATGCACTGAACCAAGAGGACGCTTCCACAGGCAGGTCCAAAAACAAACAAGCACCTAACTGATATCATAAAGAATTAATTCATTTATTGGCCTTGCATTTGTCTTGACTAGTGCTTCTGTACAATCAAATCCACAGATAGCATCACATACGATTAGGAATTCTCTCTTCTGCGAGATATTTTAATACATATTGTCAAATAAATAACACAAGCATGCAATAAAACATTTAAAGCATTATTAATTCACAAATGGCTTAAATTATTCACTCAAATGCAAGCAACCAACTTTTCCGTCTTCCTCAAGCCACCATGATGCTCATTTAATGTTTAATGCTAATACATTTTCACCTTCACTTTTGAATATGTCTGCAAGTTTATGGGGTCTCCAGGGAGGTAAATCAGACTAATATTTAGGTCTTACTTTGCTAATGCTGTAGAAACTTTGCTTTCTGTTCAAAAACAATAATGGAAATTTTGTCATGGTAACTAGTTTTACACTTCTTTAAACTAAGCACACAAAAAAATACAGCTAAATTTCACATAGTAGCCACCTGAGCTGCAAGAAATATATTCCTGGTAACAGTTTAGTTCAATATGTGGCTTTTTATTAGGGTTTTCACTGAATTATGGGAATTGTTTTGAATTGTGAGTGGATAGATATATAAGATTTTGTCTTAAAAAGGTCGTCTAAAGCAGTAGTTTGATAAACAGGTGGGTCACAACCCAGAAATGGCTAAAAGCAAAGAACAAAATAAACTGTGCCAAATCTAAATGTAAAAAAGGGAGGCGAATATATATATATATATATATATATATATATAAATAATATACATTATATATATAATATACATTAAATATATAAAATAATTATATATTTATAAAATCATTCCATAATTTATCTAGTATTATTTTTACTTATAATTAATAATTACATCTATAATTATGAATTATTTTATGAATATAATAGACATTCTTCGGCGGTGCGAAAACGCCAAAAAGTGGGTAGTTCCACAATTAGTTCTGGTACTATGAAAATGTTCCCGCAGTGCGAAAGGCCCTTATGTAAAATCGGAAGCAAATCCCCTTGAGTAGCAACGATCTGATCTAAAGCCTGTATAATCAGCCAGAGTGTATAGTTATAGAAGATCCATAAAAAGAGCTTTTGTCTCCAATGACTCCACTGAACGGGGATATTTCCAAAGTGTGTCTCATACAGACTTTAATGGAGAGATGTTTTAGTGAGTTTCCTGACCTGCGCTCCTATCCAACACATGGACATCTGTCAGGCAGACGGAGAAAAGCCCAGCTGAGAGAGGGGAGAGAGGTGAACTACTGCTCTCTGAAACAACACATATTCTCTCTTGGTCCTGAACTCCTGGACAGGCTCCTGTGAGGAGGCCTTTGATGGAATCTTAACTGGCATTTGAAAAGACGCCTGAAGCGGGGGCAAAGGCCCTCGATCTCCCAGTTCCTCAAACAAGACATTTTTTCAGTGTGGAGATGAGTGACAGCACCCTGTTAAATCCAACCGAGCAGGAAACAATACCGAAGTCCAGACATATGCCGACTTATTTATTAAGTCATGTTTTATTCAATTTCTTAATTTTAGACACTGTTCGCTGCAGTAATACGTGAAATAAGTGAAATATTTCAGCTTCTGGTGGAAGAGAAACAGCAGGGCTTATAATAATGCTAAAGCAGGTGGAAACAGAATCAACAAAAATCAAATCCTTATCATAGCCATATAAAACTGTGTTGGGTTGTAGCAGTAACACGATTAATTAATTAATTAATTTATTTATTTATTTATTAGTAAGAAAAGAAGGGAAGAGCAGGGATAATTGTTATTGGTCAATAATTGATCAATAATAAATGTGACATTGGTATAAACATTTTAAAATTCTCTTATGCTCATCAAGGCTGCATTTATTCAAAAATCAAAAATACAGTACATGTCACAGATCTGCCAAGCTCTCTCACTTCCACTACCCAGCGTTCCCTGTCACCTTAGTACTAACCTCCTGCACCTGTCAGTGATTACTCCCTATCAGTGCACTACTTAAGCACACACCTCAGCCTCAGTCTGGCCTTAAACAAGGAAAGTCTCGCTTACCTGGTCTCTGCGTATTCCTGTGAAGATTCCTGGTTCTCCACATCTGTTCACAAAGATATTTACCTGCTATACTGACCCAGTGGTCCAGTCGCTGAGGTGTGTGTTTTTCCATCCCCTTCGCCTCCTGTAAACATATAAGGACTGCTACCTTCATCTTCTTGCTGCTGCTCGTTCATTTTCTGTCATTCTACCCACCTGTTCTTTTCCGATCCTGCCCTCTGCTCCAATAAAGTTTTGTCTGGATTCATCTAACCCCTGTTCAGTGTATATTTCCTGACATAAGGCCAGACCAACACCAAAATATGGATCCAGATCGGCCCAATCCGTTCCGGGAGCCCACTGAAACACTTAGTCGGGAAATAACTCTGCACAGGGCAGCGCCTATCACTACCATTCTACCCACCTGTTCTTTTCCGATCCTGCCCTCTGCTCCAATAAAGTTTTGTCTGGATTCATCTAACCCCTGTTCAGTGTATATTTCCTGACATAAGGCCAGACCAACACCAAAATATGGATCCAGATCGGCCCGATCCGTTCCGGGAGCCCACTGAAACACTTAGTCGGGAAATAACTGTGCACAGGGCAGCGCCTATCACTACCAGCACTTCCACAGCACCCGCTCCTTCACCTGTCTACGTAGCCAGTCCCATGGTCAAGCCAGCGCACTACTCTGGTCTGGAGGAGGACTGCAATGGTTTTCTTCTACAATGCTCAATGACATTAGCAATTACAATGTTGTATAAAGCTGGTCCTGTTACTGCGTCTCTTCAAAATTTAGTTTCTCATTTCAAAGAGATTTTTGGTCGTCCAGTTGGAGATTCCTTTGTCTGTGACCAACTTTACCACCTGTGACAAGGAAGCAGTTCCATCACAGATTACGCCCTGAAGTTCCGAACTCTCGTTGCTGCAAGCGGATGGAACTAACAAACTCTTCTCACCACTTATCGCCAGGGGCTAAATACAGTGCTTCATTTGCAATTGGCCACTTACGATGACACCATAGGACTTGAGAAGTGTATCCAACATTCCATTCGAGTTGCTCGCCACATGCAAAGCTACTTAGAGGCTGATCCAAACTTGCAGACCTCCCTACAACATCTCCAGCCAGAGAAATCTGACACTTCAAAACCAGAACCCATGCTAGTGGATAATACCCAGCTGTATTTTACCGAAAGAAGCCGTCGTCTTTTGCCCAAAATGAGCCTCCAAGCTACCACCTTACAAAAAAAAAAGGACGGAGGCTTGCGGCCTTGCATTGACTATTGGGCACTCAACAAAATAACCATTAAATTCCGTTATCCACTTCCCCTCATCCCAGCTGCTTTGGAGCAACTTCGGGGAGCCTCCATCTTCACCAAGTTGGACCTCCGAAGTGCTTACAACCTCATCCAGATACATGAGGGGGACGAGTGGAAGACCGCCTTCATTACTCAATTTGGGCACTATGAGTACCTCATTATGCCGTAAGGCTTGGTCAGCGCCCCCTCTGTATTCCAGGACTTCATGAATGAGGTGCTCCGGGACTTCCTGAACCGATTTGTAATCGTGTACATAAATGACATTCTTATCTACTCTTGAAGCCTGACTAAACATCGCCGGCATGTTTCGGAGGTCCTCCAGAGGCTCCGCGAGTACAATCTGTTACTCAAAGCTGAGAAATGCAGCTTTCATTGGAGTACCATCCTCTTCCTCGGTTACATAGTAAGCAAGAACTGGTTCAAAACGGACAAGGGGAAATTATCTGCTGTTACCTCCTGGCCCACTCCTACCATGGTGAAAGAACTTCAGAGATTCCTTGGATTTGTGAACTTTTATCACCGATTCATCCAAAACTACAGTATCCTGACATCACCCATCTTCTGGACCCCCGAAGCTGAAGAAGCCATGTAAGCCCTGAAAACCGCCTTCACTACTGCACCACTCCTAAATCACCCTGACCCCAAGAAGCCATTCGTGGTTGAAGCAGATGCTTCTACTACTGGAGTGGGTGCAGTCTTGTCACAGCAGCAGAAGTCAACAAAGCTCCTTCCATGTGCCTTCTTTTAAAATAAATTATACCCGGTGGAGCCAAATTATGACATTGGGATTCATGAGCTTTTGGCCATTAAACTCGCCCTGGAAGAGTGGAGGCACTGGTTAGAGGGAGCCTTTCGTCCTCACTGATCATAATAATCTACAGTAATAATCTACAGTATTTAAGATAAGCAAAGAGACTAAACCCCAGACAAGCCAGATGGGCGTTGTTCTTTACCCATTTCCAATTCAGTATCTCCAATTGACCTGGCTCCTGAAACATTCAAGCTGATGCATTATCCCGACTTCATGTCCCCACTGACATCAACAGAGACCCCGAACCATTGCTTCCCTCCACTCTTTTTGTCAACCAAATCCAGTGGAGTATCGATGAACAAATCTCTGAGACCTCCAACAGTGAACCTGCTCTGCCGGGGTGCCCTCCAGATTGCACCTACATTCCCAGAAATCACTGTATTCCTCTCATCGAGTTGGCTCATTCATCCGTGGGTACTGGCCACCCGGGGACCGAACAAACCCTCTCGCTCCTACAACATCATTACTGGTGGTCTGGCATGGCTAATGACATCAAGCGTTTCATCCAAGGAAGTCAATAGTGTGC